CCGAATTTGTTCCCATAAGGAATATTGTGAAGTAGATTAGTCCATTTCAGACCCCCAAACATACACGTACAAACGCACTTACATAAATACACTTACATAATTGGTCGCATTCGGAGGTGATCGTTATGCGGGGGTCCACTGTATGGTGTCTTTTATTATACCACAAAACTCTGTGTTGGCAATGAGTTTTTTGATAGTCTTGGGCTAACATGAGAGAGTATATGATTCATGTCTTTTATTCATAAATGATTACATATTAATATTTGTTTAACATTAGCTTAGTGTACAAACTGCATGTACATTATAAAGATTTGTCTGGATTAAACTCAATCATTTTAAGAGATATGACTACCGTCCTAATTTGTGGTACTCTAACTTCATGGATTTGATTTATTAATGTTTTTTCTGAGAGATCTCCTTAAAATAATTTCAAATACTACAGTTTTTGCAACACCTATTTTGTTTTGGGCTCATGCATGACCCTAAATTAAAACCCAACTTGAGGAATTCATTGAAAATGTACTCACTGGATTTCTTCTTAGACATTTTTTCTTGTGAATGTCAACATTAATAAAAGTAACATGTGGGATATGGCTGGTTTCTTAAAAAAAAAAAAAAAAAAAAAAAAAAATCTTAAAATGAGTCTAATTCTTAAAAAGTTACCACATGGAGAGTATTTAGTGATATTTGTGAGTTTTAGATTTGTTGGGGTCTTCAAGAACCTAACTTGTGTGAAGCACAATTAGTTAGTTGAATTCAATTTCTCTCCTCTTCCCCCTCTCCCATCACAAAAAAAAAAAAAAAAAAAAAAATGGAATGAAAAGAGGTAGGATTGCTGGTGTCTCTTTTTGTCTCATAAACATGCAAGATTTCAGGCATGTCTTGCTACTTCTACTTAGGTCACACTACTACTACTTCTTAGGTCACACTACTACTTAGGTCACACTACTACTTAGGTCACACTACTACTACTACTTAGGTCACACTACACTTGCATGTACAAGTATACATATACACACACACACACCTCTGTGTGTTTTCTTCTATTTTATTGCTAGTTCTTGTTCTGGTTTATTTCCTCTTATCTCCATGGGAAGTGGAACAGAATTCTTCTTTCGTAAGCCATGCGTGTCATAAGAGGTGACTAACATGCCGGGAGCAAGGGGGTGGTAACCCCTTCTCCTGTATACATTAATAAAGTTAAAAAGAAAAACTTTTGCTTTTCTTTTTTGGGTCACCCTGCCTTGGTGGGATACAACTGGTTTGTTGACAGAAGAAGAAGAAGAAAAGAAGTAAAAAAAAAAAAAAGTGATGTTTGAGCATGAGATTTTGTAAAAAGGAGCATGAAGGCATATATATGTTAGTGAGGTGTTGCATGTTGAAGTATGAGATATTGGGACATGGACAATAACATTTGTGGAGTCCCAGAATGGTCTGTCTGACAACTGGAGGAAAACATATCTGATCTAATAATATACAGTAAAATTTGATTGTTCCCAGATTACATTTCATTTACATTTAATAATAGAGAGCTATGAAATATTATATACAACAGAAAGTGTTATAACATCTACAAATTTGTACAACTACTGAGCAATATTTACTTCAAGATTATAATTTACTATATACAAGACACTACAAATAATTTACCACCGTACATATCAGTCCTTGAATGAATATTAACAGAATTTGTTAATGGCAGCACTATTACAACTCATGCCATGAATATAAAACAAGACTAGTTAACTAAACCACAAAAGAATTTCGCTGTTTTGCTTGAAACCCAGAGTCAAGTTTGCATTTTCCAGCACCTTCACAAGAAATCCGAATTACCTTTTATGCTATACAGTGAATAAAGAGCACTGTTGTTTCTTGCAAAAAATAAATAAGACAATGAACAAGATTTCCTCTAGCAAATGGTTGTGTCAATTTCTGGCTACTTGTTTACCTCATAGCTTCTTACTTGATCATTATTACCAGCAATTTATTAGCAAACAAGTGCTAAGCTTAATAGTTACATTATTAACCCTTTGAGGGTCGAGACTCACTCTCAGGGTCGAAAAATTTAAAAAAAAAAAAAAATCTTAAGAAATGACAGAGAATCTTTTCCCGGTGGTAATGACATAACAAATATGAAATCTGACTGAAAACTTACAAAATTACACTATCACAAAGTTAGCGATATTGGCGATTTCGCCTATTTTGAGCCCTATTTTTGGCCAATTCCATTGTTCCAGTCGGCTAAAATCATAGCCATTTTGATAGAACTCCATTTGTTCTATCGAGTGAGTACGAGAAACTGCCCATTTACCGATTTCAACTACCCAATAAAATGGTCAGAAATTGGCAATTTGGCCAATTTCAACCAAATTTCAAAAGATGCCAATTTCAAAATAGGGTCCAGAATAAACAAGATAGACATTCCTGGCACTAAAATAACATTTTCTCTGTTCATTAGGCCCCTCTTATATTACTCTTGCTTTCCATTTTGAATTTTTATTCTCACAAAAAATAGAAGATTTACTGTTATGTAGTATACTGCATTATTGTAAAAATGGTATAATTACTATCAGCACACTTGTGAAAGAATTTAAGACTCACCAGTTGATGTGTATTGGATGTATGGCGTGATTTATTTATCCTTGAACATCGGCAAAAATCGAACATTTCTACTACTTTGAGCTCAATTTCAAGGTGCTTTTCATCATGAAACCACTCAAAATCATCTCTATTTCTGTAATATATCTCCCATTCTATCAAATGAGATAAAAAAAACGAGAATACAAACCATAAATACCATACAAAAATACACTGCAAAAGCTGTTTTAAACCAAAAACACGGTCAGAGTTTTTTTTTCTCATTATGCAATGTGTGCTGCAGGATTTTTTTTATACTGTGCACAATGACCACGCAGACCCATTCTTTCATATGTAGGCCTACCAGATTTAAAGGCGCTAGAATTTTGGCGCATAAATATGGGACCGACACTGGCTATCAAGTCGTACGTATACAGGACCAACCCTGAAAGGGTTAAAATTGCAAGTGATTATCCAAAGTTTTAAGTCTTAGAAAAAAAAAATTGAAAAGTGTCAACAATTACCATATTTTACATCAAAAACAGTTTTTTCCCCAATATGAGACTCAAAAATTTACCCAGCATCTTGGTGGCCTAAGTACTGCTTTTTTTTTTTCCTCCAGAATTTAGCCAATCAGAATGGAAGGGGAGGGTCTTTGACACCAGAGCTTCTTGTCTGCCATAAAATATAGTAACTCCATTTGGCATGGAAGCAAGGAATCACAGCACCTTTCATTTTTATTCAGCATGATTTAAAAAATATTCTTTACGGCATTGTATTACCTGAGGCCAGATCACTAAAAACTTGACTGAAGGATTCTTTATAAAGTTTTCTCACATTCTCAACAATTTGTCAAAAAACTTCTGTAAAATTTAACTTGTTCTCAGTAATCCTTAAAACTGTCACCTCCAAACTTTATATTAAAGGCAGAATTCAGTTTTAAAGATAGCTTTTTATTTTCTATGATATTACATGTAGCCTCAGCTCCACTTTATGAGGAGGAGATCAAGTGCATCAAGTGTCTCAGTCCATTCACTTAAGCACCATGAATAACACATGGCCAGTCAAGAACATATACAAGTTCATGCATATTACTGAAGTGTTTCCTCAGTGTGCAGTATAACACAAAGCCAAGTGTTTTAAAATTACACCCTTGTATGAAACAAAGAGTGCTCATACATAAAACTGTGTCATTACTAATGGAAAAATCTAAACTAAAACCAAAATCTGTGGGGGAAGATAGACAGGAATCAGTCAGTAGGATTTTTGGTAAAATTTTTGAAAAAGAAGAGCACAAATGCCCTTCCTGCTAACTCCTAGGTCATTCAACTTTACATGAAGGAAGTTAAATTTAAAATAAACTACAATGTAATAAGAATATCAGATTTGATAAAGGTAACTCGCATATGAAAATCAAGGCAAAAAGATGTGACATGTTATTTCAGAGGATGCTGATGAGAAAATTCAAATATGTATTTTTTTTAAAGCACACACTTTTCTATTTTTCACACTTTTCAAATATGCAACTTTTTGTATCCCAAATTATTCCAAATAGCAGAAATAAATTTGAAGCATTGATAAATGTAGTAAGGTTACATATAACTGGGAATAAATCCAACACTTCATATAGTATATTATGATACAGCATTACATTATCATTTTACTAACAAATGTGACCAGAATTTTCAGTTTTATTACAACATTTAACTGGCAAGTAATGTGATTTCTTGTTGAGGTGCAAGAAAGTTATTTGATTTTGAGGTGTAGCAAGTAACATGATTTTTTGAAGTGTGGCATGTAATATAATTTCTTGAGGTGTGACATGTAATATGATTTCTTGCGGTGTGGCATTTAACCCTTAAACTGTCCAAACGTAGATCTACGTTTTTTCAACATTTGAAAGTATGTAAAAAAATGTAGATCTTCTTTCTTTTTTTTTCATTTGAAAATGTGTAAAAAAACTTATATCTACTTTTTTTTTGTTATATTTGAAAATATGTAAAAAAAACGTAGATCTACTTTTGGAGCACTACACATGTGAATGTAAATTTGTTTGGACAGTTTAAGGGTTAATATGATTTCTTGGGATGTGGCAAGTAATATGATTTCTTGAGGTGTGGCATGTAATATGATTTCTTGGGATGGGGCATGTAATATGATTTCTTGAGGTGTAGCATATAGAGTAATTCCTTGAGGTTGGTCTGCTTCTGGGATCATGCAGGTAACAGGCTGCTAATTGCTATGGACAACTTATGGTTGGTCAGCCCAAAAAATTAAGGCTGCATTCATTATGGACAATAGCTTAAAGAGCATAGACATTTTAAAAGCAACTCTGAAACAAATTATAAATTTGAAACAAAATCAAACAGATTAACACTTCTGATTTGGTGTAAATTACAGCAAGGCAATCATTATATATTCACCCGACTCTTGCGTGCATTTGCAGGTCTCTTGAGGCGATGAACTGTCATCTCAAAAAATCGAAGAAAGCCTTCAATAGTTGTCTGCAAAATAAAACCAACCGAGGTCTTAAAACTAAGAAGAAAAAATCAAAATGCCTTTAAAGACTAATTGTAACATTTAGCATTTTAACCTATGGTATACTTCTATACCTCCTGTTTTAAATGCCCAATTTACTTTAGAAATTATATTGGCCTAAGAAATTAACCTCCACTAATGTTCATATACAGTGGACCCCCGCTTTACGATCAGCTCCCAATGCAACCAATTATGTAAGTGTATTTATGTAAGTGCGTTTGTACGTGTATGTCTGGGGGTCTGAAATGGACTAATCTACTTCACAATATTCCTTATGGGAACAAATTCGTTCAGTACTGGCACCTGAATATACTTCTGGAATGAAATAATATCGTAAACCGGGGTCCACTGTATTTAGTTCACTACATCTGGTTGCTTCTTGATTCATAATATTATGCACTTCCATAGTTAAACTTAGTCTAATCTGATTACGTTTCCACCATCTTTATTTTTTATTTTCTCCATGCGATTCACTTCTATTCAGGTATTCTCGTTACACATTTACGTGCTTCTGTGAGTGCTTCATCTACAGTCTGGGTAACACAAGAGCCTCACACTTTGCTACCACACCACACAACTCCTCTCTTTATATACTTTCTACAGAAAGACCCAACACAAGTACCCAATAACAAAGAGCTACCCCCACAGTAAATCTAGAACATTATAACTGCATGGGCTACTGAGTAACAAAATTCACAAGAAAAAATTAGAAGCATAAGAGATTTTAAAAAGATTCTCCAGACAAATATAACTAACTCTTTCACTGTCCAGACTCTCAAAATTAATATTGCTCTCAGTGTCCACTTTGTAAAAAAAAAAATATTTTTCCTTCTGAAATGGTAGAGAACCTTTTCCTGAAGGTAATGACACGAAAAGCACAAATTTGATGGAAAACCTACAGAATTACACAGGTACAAAGTTAGCAGTATTGGTGCAATTTACAAACTGGCAATTTTGCCCACTTTGAGTCCTATTTTAAGCTAACCATTCTTCCAGTCGACCAAATTCTTAGCTATTTCGCTAGAGTTGGTAATTTGGCTAATTTTACACAAAATTAAAAATAGTCTATAATAAACAATGTAGACATTCCTGGCACTTAAACAACATTTCTTCTGTTCATTAGTCATATCCCCAGACTTCTATATTACACTTGCCTTCAATTTTGAATTCTTATTCACACAAAAATAGAAGACTTACTCCATTTCTCAGATAATAAAATAAAACCTGGAAAGACTAGTCATGATTTACACCATCCAGATAGGAGTGGAGGCAAGTGGATTTTGTGACTTGGCATACTGTTGGAGTGTGAGCAGGATAACATTTTGAAGAGATTCAGGAAAACTGGAGGTGGAAAGTACAGTGCCTGCACTCTAAAGGTGAGGTAGGGATATAGCAGTTTGGAGAGGCATCTGAATTGTAATATTGCATTCCTCAGGCAAGACAGTGATAGAGTGAGTGATGGTGAAAGTGTTTCTTCTTTTTCAGGTCACCCTATCTCAGTGTTATAAAAAAAAATTAGATGGACTGCAGGAAATGATAGTACCTCCTGTTCTTCAAGAGTTAGCTGGTTGTATATATCTGTGGGTGCTCCAGATGATGCCTCCATGATTGTTCGAGCAGCAGTGCGGAAACAATCAGGTACCAGCAATACCCTGAATCTCCAGAATTTTAAATGCTGAAAGAAAAATATACATCATGAGGGTTAAGACCTAGGACTTTTCACAAATCTCCACTGTGTGATATGAAGCAGGCTTACCACACTTTATGAAATTCAGGAAAGGATTAAGTGATATAATGTAAGGTAGTCTACAAGACCATTTGACAACATAACTATTTAAGATGTTATTAGGAAGAAAATCCAATGGAATTTTGGAGTAAGGTAGTCATAAGATACGACTTAAATGCCCCTAGAGAGATTTGACGATAGCCATGTAACTCTCATACTTTATTCATATTACTAATATTTTACAAAAAAGACGACATGAAAATGTTGTACTGCAGATATTACCTTTTATCGCTGGAGAGTGCAAGAAATACCCATGTAACCCATGGGTATTGTGTGAGCTATTACAAATGATCATTGGACAACTACACACATGTACGAAAAAAAAATAGTCAGCAATAGTGGAAAAACAGATGTTGAAAATGGTAAAAGAAAATATTGTAGTTGGTAAGGCTATATATGCCTTATGCTAATTCTATTTTTCCACTACTTGAGTGTATGCAGTCTTCAGCTACTGAACAAACTGCAGTCTTCAGCTACTGAACAAACTGCAGTCTTCAGCTACTGAACAAACTGCAGTCTTCAGCTACTGAACAAACTGCAGTCTTCAGCTATTGAACAAACTGCAGTCTTCAGCTACTGAACAAACTGCAGTCTTCAACTACTGAACAAACTGCAGTCTTCAGCTATTGAACAAACTGCAGTCCTCAGCTATTGAACAAACTGCAGTCTTCAGCTACTGAACAAACTGCAGCCTTCAGCTACTGAACAAACTGCAGTCTTCAACTACTGAACAAACTGCAGTCTTCAGCTATTGAACAAACTGCAGTCTTCAGCTAATGAACAAACTGCAGTCTTCAACTACTGAACAAACTGCAGTCTTCAACTACTGAACAAACTGCAGTCTTCAGCTACTGAACAAACTGCAGTCTTCAACTACTGAACAAACTGCAGTCTTCAGCTACTGAACAAAACTGCATTCTCAGCACTGAACCAAAATTGCAGTCTCAGCTAACTGAATAACCTGGCATGTCTTCAGCTATTTTGAAACAAAGGAACGGCTACATGTATCAATGCAACAAATGAATTTTTATCTACAGAAAATGATAACTCAGCTAAACTAGAATATTGGACATTGGTCATTATTAGAGTATTTTTGTTAATATGTTCCTCATCACAGTTGTCACTATGTCCAGCATTTCACATCAAGATTAAATCTATAATATTTGCAACAATGATCAATTACCTTTCAAGTTTGTGGTATGTAAGCTTCAGCTCTTGATCCCCTCTTACCATATTCTGCCAGTTCTTGAACTCCTGTTTGATTTCATTTCCACTGTGTTACTCCTCAGCTTATTTCACTTCCTTACTGGAGAGTTTACCTGGAGAGAGTTTCGGGGGTCAACGCCCCCGCGGCCCGGTCTGTGACCAGGCCTCCTGGTGGATCAGCGCCTGATCAACCAGGCTGTTGCTGCTGGCTGCACGCAAACCAACGTACGAGCCACAGCCCGGCTGATCAGGAACTGACTTTAGGTGCTTGTCCAGTGCCAGCTTGAAGACTGCCAGGGGTCTGTTGGTAATCCCCCTTATGTGTGCTGGGAGGCAGTTGAACAGTCTCGGGCCCCTGACACTTATTGTATGGTCTCTTAACGTGCTAGTGACACCCCTGCTTTTCATTGGGGGGATGGTGATCGTCTGCCAAGTCTTTTGCTTTCATAGTGAGTGATTTTCGTGTGCAAGTTCGGTACTAGTCCCTCTAGGATTTTCCAGGTGTATATAATCATGTATCTCTCCCTCCTGCGTTCCAGGGAATACAGGTTTAGAAACCTCAAGCGCTCCCAGTAATTGAGGTGTTTTATCTCCGTTATGCGCGCCGTGAAAGTTCTCTGTACATTTTCTAGGTCGGCAATTTCACCTGCCTTGAAAGGTGCTGTTAGAGTGCAGCAATATTCCAGCCTAGATAGAACAAGTGACCTGAAGAGTGTCATCATGGGCTTGGCCTCCCTAGTTTTGAAGGTTCTCATTATCCATCCTGTCATTTTTCTAGCAGATGCGATTGATACAATGTTATGGTCCTTGAAGGTGAGATCCTCCGACATAATCACTCCCAGGTCTTTGACGTTGGTGTTTCTCTCTATTTTGTGGCCAGAATTTGTTTTGTACTCTGATGAAGATTTAATTTCCTCATGTTTACCATATCTGAGTAATTGAAATTTCTCATCGTTGAACTTCATATTGTTTTCTGCAGCCCACTGAAAAAAAGCTTCCTGATATTCCTTTAGCTCAAAAGCAAGGCCATGCCACCTTGTTTTTGTTGCATTTTAACAAGAAAATCTATCGTTCTCAACTCATTTTTTAATGGTTTGTTAAGTAGTGAGAGGAATAATTTTTACATGAGCTTTTGGCATTTCTCATTAATTCAATCTTCTCAGCTACTTTTGATTTAAGAGAGAACCACTCAAAAACAGGCAGACTATATTTCTTTCCAAGCATTCTTCACATTATTATTATTATTATTATTATTATTCATGGCATATTCATATTATTATTCATATATTTATGGCACTAAATCTGTAGGAATCATACAGTGAGCAGAGAATAAGAGGTAATCAGTTTAATGCAAGATAAAGGTAACTTCAATTCCTTAAGGCATTACCCTTGACAGAAAAAAATTTTAGAGTAAGAGTACTAAATGCATCTCATCATTGTATGTGATATTTTTAATAGTATATGAAATATTTCAGTCACCTATTTCTTTAACCTTCAGAAAATTATCCAATAGTATGTTGAAAAATTTCATCTTCACTCTTATTTACCCTTCATGTAAGGGATGAATAAGCAAAGTTCAAGAAAGTGGCATGTTAGTGGAAAAAATGTAAAACTAAATGTTCAGCAGGTGAGTGAGAAGAGTTGTCAAGTAGCAGCAACATTTTGCACACTTCAGGGAGTCTGACTCTCCAACAATGATCTCTGAACTCAGGAACAAAGTTGTTCTTTGATCTCTAAACAGTAAGGTCTTGTGTAATCCGGGCCCACCTGTTTCCTTGAAATCCCTTCTAGTAAATAGGATAAATCTTTTTTCTTTCAAAAAGGGCCGTTCCCACCGAGGGGTAGGGGGGCCCAAAAGGAAAAATGAAAGATTTCCTTTTAAATTTAGTAACTATAAGGAAAAGGGGTTTATTCCCTTGCCCCCGGTTTTTTAGTTCCCTCAACAACACGCATGGCTTACGGAGGAAAATTTTTTCCCATTTCCCCCAGGAAAAAGAGGAAATAAACAAAAACAAAAAATTGAAAGAAAAAGAAGAAAACCCCAGGGGGGTGGTAAGTATGCTTTACATGATGTTTTTGGGACCTAATGAAAGTAAAAGTAGCAGACGTACCTGAAATCTTGCATTTTTGAGACAGAAAAAGGACCCAGCAACCTCCATCATTAACCAATTACAGGCTTCCGTTTTACACCACTTGGGCAGGGGGTGTACCTCCCTGGGCAGTGCTGTCTCCCAAACCTCCCTAGAAAAGGATAAATTTTCTACTAATTTTGTGTGTGCCGTTGCATGAGAACGTTAAATGTAGTTGAATTTCCTCTAACGTTTGATCCCAGTAATAAATTCTTATCATTCAAATGAGAGAAGTCTAAAGTATCTTTCCAAAAAAAACCTGTGTCATAAGAAAATTTTATTTGTCAGGGAGTAAAATTCAGGCTTTAAAACCCCACATGAGCAAATTCCTGCAAATATTGTTCTTTTACCCTAATGTCTCATGCCTTAACTGCTCTATATTATTTTGTACCTCAAAAGGGTTAATCTGGGACTCCCCACAAAAGCAAATATTTTTACCCAGATGATTCCACATGTAGGTCTCTTCTCTCGTTCGAAACTCAACCCTGATACCTCATATGCTCTGTCAGGGGCTTGGAACCTGTCGAAAATCCCGTTTCAGTTGTGGATATAGATCCCTAAAACATGAAAATTATAAAATATTTATACACACTACTGTAGATTTTTTAGTAGAGGAAAGCGGGAAAAATTAAAAGGTAAAAACAAGAAAAAATTATTCCCTTAATGATTTACTTAATTTTTTTCATCCTCTTTTTCCCTTCTGCTTCATTCTTATGAGAAAAAGGGCATAAAAAACCATACAAGGCGGGGATTAACCATGGCGAGTGAGTCGTTTAAAAATCTAGGCCAGCGTGTAAGCCACACCCCTGGTACATAGGTATTTTCAACACCAAGAGAGGTTAGCACTGGCCCACTGTGACTACTTTTTTATCTTTTGGTAAAAATCAAAAAATTTCGCCTTTTAGCTCAATTTCAAGGGACTTTTCATTGTAAAACAAAATCAAAAATCATCTCGTTTCTGAATATGTTTCCATTTATAAAGGGACCAGGAAACTGAATATACAATAAAAACCTATGAAAATACAGTGCAAAATTCTGTTTTAAACCAAAAACACGGTCAAATTTTTTTTTTTTTCCCTTTGCACTGTGTGTGCGGGTTTTTTTTTTTACTGCGCCCCAAAATGACACATAGACCATTTTTTTTCTTGTACCACCAGCTTTCTCTCACTAGATTTGAGGGGCCCAGAATTTAGGTTTTTCTAGTAGGTAGAGGTTGGTAGAAGCAACCACCCCGGGGAAATACTACCGTCCCGCCCGATGACTGTGAAACAAAAACCTGTAACTGTTTTTTCATGTGGTAGGATTCGGTTTTCTTTTTTTTCTCATAAACACGCTAAGATAACAGGGAACTTGCACTCCTACTTAACTTTTGGGCAAAACTTCCAGACAGCACTGCATATATTATAATACATACATCTAGGTTTTTTCTCCTTTTTCTAAATACTCTTGTTCTTTTTTTTTTCTTCTATTGTCCATGGGGAAGTGGAAAAAAAAAACTTTCCTCCGAAGCCCTGGTGTGTAGAGGCGACTAAAAAGCCGGGGAGCAATGGGCTAGAAACCCCTTCTCCTGTATAAAAATTACAAAAAAAGAGAAGAAAAAATTTTATAAAAACGGGTTTGCTTAAATGTGCGTGGAGTATGGGGGATGACAAAAAACAGATGATTGGATGTTTGAATGAAAAAAGTTGGATGCCGGGCCCTAAGCGAAAAAAAAGCTAAAGGGGGGGTAGGAGAGTTTCAGTGGGGGGAAAAAAAGGGATTAAAGGGGTATCTGAGAGAGTTAGGCAAGGAAGGGTAGCATAATGTTAAATATCAGTTAGGGAAGGAAAAAGGAATATGAATGGTAATTAAAGAATTATGGGATTAAAGAAAAGGTTGGATGCGAGAAGTGGGTCTAATAAGCGGTAGCACCTGGAAAAGAGAGGAATGCGAGGAGGGAGAGAATTTTTGGGAGATGTTAAGTGAATGTATAGGACCTTTGAACCAAGTGAGGAGTAATTGGGGTAGGGGACTTAAATGCTAAAGTAGGAGAAATTTTTTGAGAGGGTTGGGTGGGAAAGTTTGGGGTGCCAGGTGTAAATGAAAATGGGACCCCTTTTGTTTTGAACTTTGTATAGAAGGGGTTTAGTTTGGAAATACATATTTTAAGAAAAAGGGAAAAAATAAGTATACAAGATAGATGTGGGCGAAATGACAGTAGTTTGTTGGTTTGTTTGGTAGAAAAAAAGACTGTTAGTGACTTCGGGATGTACATGTTTATAGGGGGCCACAGATAATCAGACACTTTCTAGTTGTAGCTACACTGAGAGTAAAAGGTAGATGGATAAAAGGGAGAATAGAACATCGGGGAGGAGAGGGAGGTTTATAAACTAAAAGAGGAGGCAGTTAGGGTAAGTTTTTAAAAACCTTTGGGAGGATAGATGGGAAATGGGCCCTGGCAATGGGGTCGAAGAGGTATGGGGTGGTTAAAAATGTAGTGTTAGATGTTAGCAGAATTTTGGGGTTACAGGAAAGTGGGTCGGAGGGAAAAGGAGGATTGGTGGAATGATGAGTAAAGAGAGTAGTAAGGGAGAAAAATTTGATATGAAAGTTTTTACAAAGTAAAGTGATGAGGAGGGAAGGTATATGGAGAAAAAGGAGAATTAAGGAGTGGTGAAGCAAGAAAAAAGAGAGAAAAGAGAGAGTGGGGGGAGATGTTTCAAAAAAATTTTGTTGAAAATAAAAAAAAAGTTTTGGGGGAAAATTAACAATTAAGAAAGCCTAGAAACAAATGGTTTTGCAGTTAAAAATGGAGAGGAAAAATTTTTAAAAATGGAGAGTTAGGGGTAGGGGGAAGAGGAGGGAAATTTTGGGGAATTTTTAAATGTTGATGAAGATGGGGAAGCGTGATTTCGTGTAAGGGAAGGGGAAAAATCTTGTAGGAGTGGGGAAGAGCCAGTTGTGATGGGGGGGAAGTTCGTGAGGCAGTAGGTAAAATGAAAGGGGGGAAAGGCAGCGGGTTTGATGGGAAAAAGATAGAAATGAAAAAGCGGGTGGGGATATAGTTTTGGAGTGGTTGGTGAAATTTTTTAATAAATGGGAAGAGGGTAAGGCCCTGGGGTTTGGGCAGAAGCATATGTTTTTTTTTGTATAAAGGAAAAGGGGACAAAGAAGTGAAAAAATTTTTAAAGGGGGAAAATCTGTTAGTGCCCTGGAAAAGTGTATGGTAGGTTATAATTGAAAAAATTAAAGAGTAAGAGGGAAAATAGGATGCAGATGAACAAGGAGGTTTTGGGAAAAGGTAGGGGTGTGGGAAAGGGTGTTTACGGGTAAAAACATAAATAACAGTTTTTTGAAAGGTTTAAAGAGGTCTTTGGGGCATTTATGGTTTGGAAAGGGTATCAGGGTGGATGGGGGGGGCAATGTGGCAGATTTTTGCAAGGATGGGTGGGGGGAGGTTATGAAAGCATAAAAGAGTTTTTACGAGGTGTGAGGTCAAGTTAGAGTTGAGGAAAGGGGAAATTTTTTCCCAGTAAAAAGTAGGCCTTAGACAAGGTGTGTGATTTCACCGTTGTTGTTTTTAAAATATTTATAGATTTGGGGGTTTTAAGAAAGTAAAAGCGAGGGTCTTGGCAAAAAAGGCGTGGAGTTAAAAGATAAAGAACAACAAAGTGGGGGGGTTTTCCCCGCTGCCTTTGCTGATGACACTGTCTTTGGGAGATTCGAAGAGAAGTTGCAGAGATTGGGGGATGTTTGGTAGGGTTGCAAAAGAAAAAAATTAAAGGTGAAAACAGGGAAAAAGTAAGGTTATGAGGATTTCAAAAAGATTAGGTGATGAAAGATTGAATAAACAGATTGGAGGGGAGAGTATGGGGAGGTAACGTATTCGATATTTTGGGGTGGACGTGTAGCGGGGGGTCTTGAAAAATGAGGTGAATCATAGAAATTGATAGGGAAAAAAAAATGATGGTGCACTTAGGTCTGTGGAGACAAAGAAATTTGTCCCTTTGGGGGCAAAAAGGGGAATGTATGAGAGTATAGTTTTACCAAGCTCTTTTGGGTGTGAAGCGTGGGTGATGAATGTGCAGGAGGAGAAGGGGAGGCAGGGAGTGTCGTGTCGAGGGCAATGTGTGGTGTGAATAAAAGCAGAGAATTCGTAGTTTTTGGGAATTAGGGGAGGGCGGGGTTACCAAAAAAGTTGTCCAGAAAAGGGCTGAGGAAAAGGGTTTTTGAGGTGGTTGGGAAAGTAGAGGAAATGGGGCGAAAAAGAATACTTTTAAGAGTGTACGTTGTAGTGGAAGGAAGGCGGGGGAGGGGGGGCCCCAGGAAGGGGGGGGAGGGGGTTAAAAGGGGGGTTTTGTGTGCGAGGGGCTTTGACTTTCCCGCTGCAGCGTGAGGGTTTTATAGGATTTAATGGAGACAAATGGTTTTTTTAAAAATTGACGTGCTGTTGGGGTGTGAGCAAAGTAACTTTATGAAGGGTCAGGGAAAACCGGCAGGCCGGACTTTAGTCCTGGATGGGAAGTACAGTGCCTGCACTCGAAAGGGGGGGTGTTAATGTTGCAGTTTAAAAACTGTAGTGTAAAGCACCCTTCTGGCAAGACAGTGATGGAGTGAATGATGGTGAAAGTTTTTCTTTTTCGGGCCACCCTGCCTTGGTGGGAATCGGCCAGTGTGATAATAAAAAAAATAATAGTACGTCAAAAACCCTGGTGTGTAAGCCGTACTAGCACGTCCAAAACCCTGAAAGGGTTAAATGGAGAGTTAAAGGTATCGGGAAACTGGAGGGAATATTTTGAGGAACTGTTAAATGTTGATGAAGATAGCGAAGCTGTGATTTCATGTATAGGGCAAGGAGGAATAACATCTTATAGGAGTGAGGAAGAACCAGTTGTGAGTGTGAGAGAAGTGCATGGAGCAGTGGGTACAATGAAAGGGAATAAAGCAGTTGGGAGTAATGGGATAAAGAGAGAAATGTTAAAAACAGGTGGGGATATAGTTTTGGAGTGGTTAGTGTTTTTATTTAATAAATGTATGGAAGAGGGTAAGGTACCTAGGGATTGGCAGAGAACATGCATAGTTCTTTTGTATAAAGGCAAGAGGTGTGGGGTTAAAGGATAAAGAATCTAACACAAAGTGAGAGTTGTCACAGTTGCTCTTTGCTGATGACACTGTGCTTTTGGGAGATTCTGAAGAGAAGTTGCAGAGGCTAGTTGATGAGTTTGGTAGGGTATGTAAAAGAAGGAAATTAAAAGTGAATATAGGAAAGAGTAAAGCGATGAGGATAACAAAAAAAATAGGTAATGGAAGACTGGATATCAAATTGGAAAGAGAGAGTATGGAGGAGGTGATATTTGGGAGTGGACGTGTCAGCAGATGGGTCTATGAACGATGAGTTGAATCGTAGAACTGACGAGGGGAAAAGGGTGAGTGGTGCACTGAGGCGTCTGTAGAGACAAAGAACTTTACCCACGAAAGCAAAGAGGGGAATGTATGAGAGTATAATTATAACAACGCTCTTGTATGGGTGTGAGGCATGGGCTGTGAATGTTGCAACAAGGAGAAGGCTGGAGGCAGTAGAGATGTCATGTCTGAAGGCAATGTGTGGTGTGAATATAATACAGAGAATCCATAGTTTGGAGATTAGGAGGAGGAGTGGGATTACCAAAACTATTATCCAGAGGGCTGAGGAGGGGTTATTGAGATGGTTTGGACATGTAGAGAGGATGGAACGAAATAGGAAAGGTTGGAGGGAGGGGGTAAAGGAGATTTTGTGTGCGAAGGGCTTGGACTTCCAGCAAGCGTGCGTGAGCATGTTAGTTAGGAGTGAATGGAGACAAATGGTTTTTAGGATTTGACGTGCTGTTGGAGTGTACGCAAGGTAACATTTACAAAGGGATTCAGTGAAACCAGCAGGCTGGACTTGATTCCTGGAGATGGGAAGTACAGTGCTGGCACTCTGAAGGAGGGGTGTTATGTTGCAGTTTTATAACTGTAGTGTAAGCATGCCTCTGGCAAGACAGCCATTATTAACACATCAGCCATTTTGCACCAAGGCCACCCTGCCTTGGTGCGAAATGGCTGATGTGTTAATAAAAAATAAATAAATAACATTTGAGTAAGGTATGGGGCCCATATACATGGTGAACTGGCAACATGGGAGACTGTTCACATTAAAAGTGAGACTCGGCCTTCCCAAAAAATAATGACCTTGCCCATAGTGCATAGGAAAAAGACCCTGTGGTATGGCATATTTTCACACTAAATTTACAGCATGCTAGATGGTTTCTTCGTGCTATTTGAAATTAGGGAGCAAAATTCCAATTGTGTTACACTGAAAATATGCTGCCCAGATATATGTTATCTGGGACTCTTCTGTAATTAAATACACCTTTGAATCTGTATTTCCCTGTTTGGAAGCAAAATGCCAACAGCACCCACCAGTATCTAGTTTACATGACATTTTACCAATAGTTCCAAGCCCTGCTTATTATTAATAATTATATTTCCTCTAACTTAAATGGAAGCATATGGAAACAATGTGACACAATTATACAGAGAGTTTTCAAAACTGGAGAAAAACACAAACAGAGAGTACCACGCTCTAGCTTATTTACTCTTGATACGACATCTCAAGGGAGATTCCTTGATGCAAGTAAGGGGCCCCTTGATTAAAGGAATTGAAAGTGTGCTCCCCTTCTTTTGATCGAATCTGAATGCCTCCAAGTCCCCAAAGTGCTGTATGACCCTTACAGGTTTAGAGCTCCCCATGAATATAATATAATGATGATAGAGTGGGAAAGGCACTGTCAAGAAATTCTGCTGAAAATAAGAAAAAATTTTGGAGTATGATAAACAAGTTAAGAAAGCCTAGGAAATGACTGCATTTGTCAGTAAAAAAACAGAGTAGGGGAGTTAGTTGATGGGGATCTGGAGGTATTGGGTAGATGGCAGGAATAATAAGGAACACCCATATTTCCCAGAGGGTGTTGCTAAGCAACACCCTCTGGGAACAACTGTTTAAAAATAGTCATCAGGAATAAACTGTGTAACAATATTAAGTGTATAAAATTGAGCAATAATTAAATACTATTAAAATGCAAGAAAAAATTCTTTTACCCCAGCTTTAAGTCTCAATGTTCTTTATTTTGATAATTTATTCAAATACATAATTTTCATCCAACTGCAAGAACTATTGTTCAAATGTTAAAACATTGTTAAAAAATTAAAAATTGTATAAACATTGTATTATATGGAAATAAACTTTGACTTTGGCTTTGGTGCATTGAGGTATATGTGGAGGCAAAAAATGTTATCTATGGAGGCAAAGAAGGGAATGTATGAAAGTATAGTAGTACCAACACTCTTATATGGGTGTGAAGCTTGGGTTGTAAATGCTGCAGTGAGGAGGCGGTTGGAGGCAGTGGAGATGTCCTGTCTAAGGGCAATGTGTGGTGTAAATATTATGCAGAAAATTCGGAGTGTGGAAATTAGGAGAAGGTGCGGAGTTAATAAAAGTATTAGTCAGAGGATTGAAGAGGGTTTGTTGAGGTGGTTTGGTCATTTAGAGAGAATGGATCAAAGTAGAATGACATGGAGAGCGTATAAATCTGTAGGGAAAGGAAAGCGGGGTAGGGGTCGTCCTCAAAAAGGTTGGAGGGAGGAGGTAAAGGAGGTGTTGTGGGCGAGGGGTTTGGACATCCAGCAAGCGTGCGTGAGCGTGTTAGATAGGAGTGAATGGAGACAAATGGTATTTGGGACCTGACGATCTGTTGGAGTGTGAGCAGGGTAATATTTAGTGAAGGGATTCAGGGAAACCGGTTATTTTGATATAGTCGGACTTGAGTCCTGGAAATGGGAAGTACAATGCCTGCACTCTAAATGAGGAGTTTGGGATACTGGCAGTTTGGAGAGATATGTTGTGTGTTTTTATACGTATATACTTCTAAACTGTTGTATTCTGGGCACCTCTGCAAAAACAGTGATTATGTGTGAGTGAGGTGAAAGTGTTGAATGATGATGAAAGTTTTTTTCTTTTTGGGGATTTTCTTTCTCTTCGGGTCACCCTGCCTCGGTGGGAGACCGCTGACTTGTTGAAAAAAAAAAATTACTGTTTTAAAAATTATTTATGAATGAGGCCAATACCATGAGTTCAAAACTTCCTTTACCCACTAAGTATGAAAGAATCAAGCATTTGCACTAGCAACTGTTTAGCTGCCTGGAACAACAAATAATATAGATTATTATGGTTAGCCACTCTATCTTACATCAGAAGGAAAACTAAATAAAAACAAATTAAAGATATATCTAAAATGAGGACCTACAAAGATTACAAACATTGCTGCTTAGTATTTGGCAAAACTATAATAAACAGTTGCACAGTATTTCATGATGAACAGTTATAATGATCATCATGGGAACTGATAAACTTGTGAGATTCATACAGCACCTGAGGAACAGGGTAAGGGGGGGGGGGGCAATCAAGCTTTATAAAAAATATGGGTACAGTATCTCCAATTAATTGGACCAAGAAACTTTCATCAACATTAAGGCATTCCACTGAAGGATTATGATCTAAAACTATCCTGGTAACTCAGAAAACAGAAATAAACTCCTTCTCACCTGAAGAGATATGACTTTGAAAGCTCATGTTAGTTCCTGTACAATATTTGATTCTGTTGCTCACCTTGGTCTGTAAATGGTAACTGTTATAGTCGATCCACAAAGACGTATTTTATGAAACATTCGACCAATTGAAAGACGTTATTCCTGAGAAGATTCATCTCATGACTTCTTTTCTCATTAGAGAACCGATGCCCGAGTACCGAGAATTACTACCATAAACATCAACTGCTTGGTTTGGATTCTTTTCTGCTAGCATAATCATTTGGAAACCCTAAAAAAAATGATTTGGTATTAAATAAAGCATTATAACATATTTTTTACTCTCCCATAAAACATACAGTAACCTATAAAATTGAACATAACAGATGAACTGTGCTTTTACAGAAATTGGGTAATGAATATCTATGAAGATTCAAGGAAACAGTTTAGCTGGACTTTAAATTTCTGAAAGTGGGAAGTACAATGTCTGCACTCTGAACAATGGGTGAGCATACTCTACTTTGGATGGTTATTTGAAATTGTGATGTACATGCACTTCTGGAAATACAGCTGAGAATTAATGTTGATGAATATTTCCTAAGTTGAGCCATATTGAAATAGTCAGAAATGGACAGTGTGGTATAATAATTTTTTTTTTTTACATACTGGCTGTCTCCCACTGAGGCAGGGTGACCCGAAAAGGAAGAAACACTTTCACCATCACACTCCATCACTGTCTTACCAGAGGCATGCCACTACTAAAGTTCAAACTGCAACAATCCTCACCCCCTCCTTCAGAGTGTAGGCACTGTACTTCCCACCTCAAGTCCAGCTAATCAGTTTCCCTGAATCCATTCCTGTTCAATTCATAAAGTCTGTAGATAGACTGCCTAGACGACTGAATAAGACAAGAGCAGTTGCATTATATCTTCCTTGAGGTGAAAAGTAAAGAAAGGCACTGCCCTCAGTGGTTAGCATAATAAGGAACAATGTTTGAATTTTTGTTTTAACCCTTAAACCGTGGCAAACCCAGAAATAAAGTTTTTGAGTGACAAAATTTTGAAAAAATAACAAAATTCTTTTATTCAAAGTTTGAAAAAATATTTTTGCAGTAGAATAAAACAAAAAGGAAGAAGACTGAATGAAAACTTATACATTTATGTTTTACAATTTGATAATGTCAAATAATTATTTTGCAATTTTTTTTTGTCTTTAATGTCTAACACTATATACACTAGTTTATGATAAAAGATGAGTTTTAAGGTGTTTTGCACTTCAAACATGGGGGAAATGCATAGCTAGACACTGTTCCCCTTGGAATATACAATATAAATTGGTGCAAATTCTGTAATTATTTTTTCTATTTTTTATTGCTTTGGTTTTCTAACACACTGTACAAGGAATGCTTATGATATTACAGTTGTTTCAAGGTATATTATTCCTCAAAACAAGGAAATAAGTGGGTTAAAAAGACATGAGCAGATGTGGAGGACATAGGTGTAGGTGTAGGTTACAAGGTACCCATGGACAGACCATGGCACAGCCACACAAGACACACTATATTAGTACCTGAGCAAGCCTCTGTGCCACCAGTTCCAAAAACACCAGCTTCGTTGTTAATGGTTTCCTCCCACTGCTGGGCCTGGCTGGCTCCTCCATATCATCTGGCAGAAGGTTATAGTCTGCCACCAAGTAGTCATTATGTAATGACTGTTCTTCAGGGAAGTAATCAGTTGTGATTGGCAGACATGCAGGAAGGGTTAAACTCTTCCAGTCAACACCTTGAAAGGATCACCAGTTTTTAGTAAGAATAAATAATGAAAGGTATTTTTTAAATTTTGGTAAAAGTATGCAGGTGGGTGAGATTATATTTGTGTTTATCAAGTAAAGAGTTATTGATTTACATAATGAAAATATTCCATTGGTACGTATTTCTTTGTCAAAAATTTTGTTTGAAGCCCTTTTTACCTCCTTTGGGGTTTCCATTCCAAAAGTTATTACTCGAAAACAAACATTTTTTGTTCTTTCATTCCCAAATTTTTCTTAGCATTTTTAAAAATGGGGCCCTTTTTTTGGTGCACAAAACCATCATTTTCTTATTTTTTACTCAATGGCCATCCTCCAAAAAGCATTTGTGATCCAAAGAAAAAAACACATTCACCTCTTCATTCAATCACCTTCTTTCCCAGAAGTGGGCTGGGTCAAATCAATTACCCCTGAGCAACCTCCCCCCCCCCCCATGTCCTTTAAACCCCCTTCAGGTCCAAGGCCCAAATTAAAGGGGTTCCCCCCAGTGCCGAATTTTAAAAAAAAAAAAATTTTTTATTTTTTTTTATGAAATAGTGAGAATTTTTTTGTAAAGGTAATAAAACAAAAAAGAACGAAATTTGAGGGAAAATTGACGAAATTATGCTCTCGCGAAATTTGATTGTTCAGGATAATTTACGAATCGGGTTTTTCCCCGATTTTTGACCCCCCATTTTGGGCCAATTACATTTTCCAGTCAACCAAATTCTTCTATTTCATTTTAGTTACTTCTGTTCTACGATTGAGCACAAGAAATCGCCAAGTCAACTTTTCAACTCAAATTTAAAATGATCGGAAAATTTTAATTTGGGGCCCAATTTTAAAAACAAAATTCAAATATTCCAATTTCAAAATAAAAAATCGGGAAAATTTTAACTTTCTGCACTTTGGCTCAGTTTCAGCCATTTCCAGTGCAAAACCATTCAAAATCTTCTATTTCTGTAAAAATTTTCTTCCATTTTATCAAAGAACAAAGAAAACGCAAATAGAAATATAAAAAAACATACGAAAAAAAAAACTGCAAAATGCGGGTTTTAATCGAAAAAAACAGATTTCGTTTTTTTCTCATTATACACAGCGTGCTGCAGGATCTGTTTTTTGTGGTGCCACATACCACATAGATGATTCTTCATATTAGGCCAAATGTACCACCCAGTTTATCAGAGTGGGGTGAGCTAGACGTAGATCTACGTTTTGGGCCTGAACGTAAAGCCGAGATCACGGGACGGTTTTTAATATTTTTATAGTGTATGTGCTTTTCTTACCTCTTCTTCATTAATTATGGCATTTTCACTGTTTTCAGCTTTTACTGTTCATATTCCTTAACACTAGCAGCTATTATTAAACTATGTCTTTGAACTTTCTCTATTTTATCAATAAAAATACATGATCCAAAAGATACATTATCAATAAAGTATTTTTTTTTGCAAGAGAGCCCCATATTACAGCTGAATGTTTTAAATTTGGTTTATATATGCTGTGAGATATGTTTTAGCATTTTACTTTCAAAAAACGTTATCTATGGAGGCAAAGAAGGGAATGTATGAAAGTATAGTAGTACCAACACTCTTATATGGATGTGAAGCTTGGGTGGTAAATGCAGCAGCGAGGAGACGGTTGGAGGCAGTGGAGATGTCCTGTCTAAGGGCAATGTGTGGTGTAAATATTATGCAGAAAATTCGGAGTGTGGAAATTAGGAGAAGGTGTGAAGTTAATAAAAGCATTAGTCAGAGGGCAGAAGAGGGGTTGTTGAGGTGGTTTGGTTATTTAGAGAGAATGGATCAAAGTAGAATGACATGGAAAGCATATAAATCTATTGGGGAAGGAAAGAGGGGTAGGGGTCGTCCTCGAAAGGGTTGGAAAGAGGGGGTAAAGGAGGTTTTGTGGGCGAGGGGCTTGGACTTCCAGCAAGCGTGCATGAGCGTGTTAGATAGGAGTGAATGGAGACGAATGATACTTGGGACCTGACGATCTGTTGGAGTGTGAGCAGGGTAATATTTAGTGAAGGGATTCAGGGAAACCGGTTATTTTCATATAGTCGGACTTGAGTCCTGGAAATGGGAAGTACAATGCCTGCACTTTAAAGGAGGGGTTTGGGATATTGGCAGTTTGGAGGGATATGTTGTGTATCTTTATACGTATATGCTTCTAAACTGTTGTATTCTGAGCACCTCTGCAAAAGCAGTGATAATGTGTGAGTGTGGTGAAAGTGTTGAATGATGATGAAAGTATTTTCTTTTTGGGGATTTTCTTTCTTTTTTGGGTCACCCTGCCTCGGTGGGAGACGACCGACTTGTTGAAAAAAACAAAAAAAAAAATATCTGGACGCTGTTTAGAAGCATGCAAGTACAGTATAGCATAAGTGTTTCTCATTACTACACTTAAGTGAAGTTGTGGTGATATTCTATTAGTATTAATGTGCATAAATGTGGGTGAGCATAAGCATATAGTGTATGTGTGCATGAATGGTTCAGAGAGCCAACAAATTGATAAATTAGACATGTGCAGCATTATAAGGGACTGATTACCTCATTCTCCCTCTGCTTTCACTATTCTTCTTTGTATTGTACTGATGAAGCCACTGTGTGGTGAAATGTTCCCATTAAAAAGATACCCAAGTGTTGCACATGCGCCTAATTTATCATGTACTACTAGTGTACATTTTATTTTTGGACAAAAATTATTCCCTTTACAGTAAATAACAGTTCATGGTGTTCTGTATTAGGTCAACAATCTGTTAACTAAAGAAATGCCCTATACTATCAAAATAGTGTAATCTTATTTTATTATCTTTTATCATTGTTATATTCAAGAGGAAGCACTAAAACCAAATGGGTCATACAGTGCTTTGTAATTGTGATGCATAGTAATTTGGGTTTTTGTTTCCAAATGGGGGGGGGTTAGTTTTAATTCTTTGGTTTAAAAAGGCCCCCCTTCACAAGCTTTTATGACAACCCTTATAAGGGTAAAAATGCAAAATCTTAAATTCCTGCTTTCATCTTCAATTTTGTCTACCCTAGCATTGTTTTAAAAAATTTTTTAATGTAATACTTTCCCATAAATTGATCTTTTTCCATTGTGGGTTTTCCCTTTTCTTTGAAAATTTATTTTACAGGGGAAAACCTCGTTTTTTTTTTTTAATTCTTTTCCAAATTTGGGATAAAATAAAAAAAATTTTTTGTTTAAAAACTAAAGCAATTTTTTTCCCAAAAAAAGGAAAAAAATTTATAAACCCAATTAATCCATTCCGGACACCCAAAAAACTACAAAAAAAAATTCTTTTTTTATAGAGAAAAAAACTATTGTTTTACATACAGAAAAAAATTGAAAAATTTTTAAATAAAAAAAAGCACAAATTTTTAATGAAAAAATTGAACTTTTAAATCAGTTTTTACTTTTTTTGGGAAGATCTTGTTGGCATATGGAAGCCGGCGAAAAGGGGGGGGAGGGGGAATTGATTGTTTGGAAAGGGAACCCCCTTCCCACAAAAAATTCCCAGGTTTTCAATTTCCCTACCTGGGGTTACTTCCCTTCTTTGTTTTTTACGGGCCCACAAGGGACCAGCTTGAGGTCACTTTTACCCCGTCGCCCCAAAAAATCTGTCCAGAGAGGTCTGTTTCGGGGATCTTTTTAAAGTTTTCCCTTTAAAAGGGGGAATGGGCACTGAAAATTTAACATTTTTGCAGAATAAAACCTTGCAAAAGCTTTTTTTTAGGGTGATTTTTCTCCACAAGACTTTGCACCTCACTCCATTTTGCAAAATGTCCTTAATCATTAAAAGAAGGCACTTTCTTTACAAGACCCCAACTTTGAAAAACTGCCTTGCCTTTTTGAAAATTTTATCCCCTCCACGCCCCACTATCCCCCGTTTAACTGTTTTTTTTTGACCCACATCAACAAAAAACTTCTCAACATCTCAATTGTTTGAAAATCTCGGGCTTGTTAGCCCCCTTACCCCTTTAACAACTTTAAATTTTCCTTGTTTTTCTTTTTTTTTTGGGGGGGGAGGGAAAACTGATCTTTTGTTTGAGGACTTCCTGTCGTCCTGGTGGATCGCCCAACACGTTCCCCAACTTTCGTGCTTTTTTTGCAAGTTCTTTCTTAAATTCTATCGGGTTTTAAAAATTCTTTATAAAAGGGTGAACTAGGAACTTTCTTTGGCCTCCATGGGGGGCTTATTTAGCAGTCGCCCCCAATTAAAAAAAGCAAAAAAAAGCAATCGATTATTAAAAAATGTTTTGTGTGAACGTGCGGGAAATTTTAAAAACCAAACTGAAAAAAAAAGCCGGGCTGACTCAGAATGTGTGTGGGGGAATGCTTTGTTTTGGGGCATGGGGGGCCATTCATTTGGGCAGATGAAAACCAAAGGGACGAACAAAAACGGGGGACAATATTTTGACGAAAAAATTCCCGGTAAAAAAAACAAATTCAAACGAAAACCGGGAAACGAAAAAAAAAAGGGTTTCCCACCGTATTTCTACTCTCCCCTTTGCCCACACTCTAAATTGGGTTTCAACTAATACCTGTTTCCCTGAACCCCTTCACAAAATTTTTCCCTGGCTCACCTCCAACGTTTGGGTAAAATTTTCCCAATAACTATTTTCTCCTTTTCACCCCAAACACACCACACATCCCTGCGATGTCCAAGCCCCTTGCAAAAAAATTCCTCTTTCACCCCCCCTCCATCCTTTTCTAGGACAAACCCCCCCCCCCTTCCACTAAACATTTTTTACCCTCCAAGTCACCCTTTTTTGCTCCATCCTCGGGAAAGTGCCCAAAACCCCACCTCAAACAACCCCCTGTACCCCCTTTTTGAAATTACTTTTTTTTAAACTTCAAAACCTCCCCCCTACTTTCCATCTACCAAAACTCTTTGCATTTTTTAAAACTGTATAAAACTTCAAATTTTTTTCCTTTAAATATACTGGAGAGCAAAAACCCAAAGGAAGTAGGGTAAGGTTTTTTTTTCCAAATA